ACCTAACTCAGATTCCTTACTCAACTTGTAGGTATGAGTGGCTATGGAGGTGACACGAGAAAGGAAATGGAGAGGTGCTCTAGAGAGATATTTTTTGGAAATAATATTTTCTTATAAAATGATTCATGAGAACCACAAGTCACTAAAGGCACTATATAACCTTACATTTCGATGCTAGATGGCCAAATGACTCATAACAGACAAAAGTAATTAACTACTTTATAACTAATCCTTTATCAACTCCTAATGCAATTACAGATCATAACATTTCCCTCCCCTTGTAAAAGAACCTTGTCCTTAAGGTTAAATCAAAACTAAAAAAATGTAGGAAACTTAGCAGTGAAGTCCTCAAAATCTTCCCAGGTAAAGTCCTCCCTGCACTTCAGTAACTGCACTCCAGCACCATTACCCTTCTTATACATACGCCTCTACCACAGCAACAAGAATTGGCTGAGAGAGTCCATCATTTGTCACGAGAGGTAGTGTGGTTGTGGTTAATACTTTGTCTCCCAAGTGTTTCTTCAAACAACTTACATGGAACACCGGATGCAATCAACCTTTCCCACCCTAGCTTCAACAACATAAAGACCATAAAATCATGGTTGCAGCTTGTGGTGAGAGTGAGAAGACAAGGACTGAAGTTGGTATGGAATTAGTTTAAGGTAAACCAAATCCCCTACTGCGAATTCTATCTCTGTCATGTGCTTATTAACCTGCGCTTTCATCCTATTCTATGCCCTTTCCAGATTGGTTTTGAGCATAGAGAGAACCTATCTCTTGCCACAAATTGCTACTCAACAAGTTCAAACCTTCGCAGTGCCATATTCATAGGGAGTAGGGTAAGGAGGAGGATAGCCGTAGACCACTTCAAAAGGGGTAAACTTGGAAAAGATGTGGTAGGAGGTGTTGTAACTCCATTCCGCCCAACTGAGCCACTTAAGCCATTTTCTGGGCTATGCACTGGTTAAACAACGAAGGTATATCTCCAAACACTTGTTTACAATCTCGGTCTGGCCATCGGTTTGAGGGTGATAGCCTGAGTTGAGACACAGTTTAGACCCATGCAGTTTAAAAAACTCCATCTAGAATGATCTCAGAAATATAGGGTCTCTGTCATTGATTATGGATGCAGGCATTCCATGTAATTTAAAGACATGATCCACAAACAGTTGTGCTACGCTAGCAGCTGTATAAGGATGAGCTACACCAATAAAGTGAGCATACTTTGATAACCTGTCAACAACCACCATCCCACTAATGAAGTCCATGCTAATGTCTTGCCAAATGTTTTGGGGAATAGGTAAAGGCTGCAAAAAGACCAAGAGGAGAGATTGTTTCGTATTTGTTTTGCTGACAAATGTGGCACTTAGAAACAAACTTTCTAATATCAAATTTCATCCCTACCCAATAGAATCCCCGCTTGATCCGATGATAAGTTTTTTGGACCCTTTCATGACCAGCGGTGGGAGTTGTATGGTGCTCGGCAATGACTTTATGCCTCTAGGAAGAAGTAGGACTTAAGACCACTCTATATTTATATTTTAACAACCCATTATCAATGTGATATTTGGACTCTAATGTCGAACCCTGAGTAGCCATGGTAGCTAATTCTTGCAGCAATTGTTGTACTTTCTGCACAATCCATTCATCCTGTTCATCAGATCGTCGTAACTCGTCCATCCAGCCCCCGTAAGGATATGAAATGGCCTTGCACTGTCCCGTGTGATCATCATGGGACAAAACATCCTCAGTTAAGGAGTTAGCTCCCGTAATCCGAGAGAGAACATCAGTAGCTACATTGGTAACCCTATTTTTGTAATGTATTTCATAATCATAACCCAAAAGTTTGGTTACCCATTTCTGCTGACAATGAGTGTGAGCCCTATTACTAAGAAGATACTTAAGGCTATGATGATCGGTTCGAATCACAAAGTATCGTCCCTGCAAATAGTTGTGCCATTTCTTGACGGTGTGTACAATTGCAATAAGCTCCCGCTCGTATGTGGATAAAGATTGATTTCGATGACCTAATGCTTGGCTAGAGAAGGCAATTGGTCGGCCTTGTTGCTGCAAAATGGCACCAATTCCCTGCCTCGAAGCATCATATTTAATCTCAAAAGGAATTGAGAAATCTGGCAAGGCGAGAACATGTGGGGAAGTCATGACCTGTTTCGAGTGAGTGAAGGCCTCCTGAGCACTTAAAGACCAAATGAAATCGTCTTTCTTGGTTAACTGATAAAGAGGTTGGCATATCTTGCCGTAGCCCAGAATGAATTTCCGATAATAACCCGTCAATCCCAAAAATCATCTTAAGCTTTTCCTAGTAGTGGGAGTTGGCCAATCAATAATGGCTTGCAATTTAGAAGGGTCCACAGCTACCCCGTCTCGAGAAACAATGTGGCCAAGGTACTCGACCTTACTCTGACCGAAGGAACATTTTTGTTTCTTGAGAAACAATTGATTAGTCTTCAAAATCTGAAAAGTAATGCTCAGATGAGCTAGATGCTCCTCCCACAATTTGCTATAGACGAGAATATCGTCAAAGAACACCAAGATAAAGTGTCAAAGATGAGGTTTAAAGATGTCATTCATGAGGTTTTGAAATGTGGCAGGTGCATGGGTTAGCCCGAATGGCATAACCAAAAACTCATAATGCCCTTCATGAGTGCGAAATGTCGTTTTAGCAATATTACCAGGGTGCATCTTGATTTGATGGTAACCAGACCGTAAGTTAAGTTTGGAGAAAAATTTAGCACCACATAATTCATCCAATAAATCATCAATCAAGGGAATAGGAAACTTATCCTTAATTATGATGGAATTGAGCTCTCTGTTATCCATGCAAAGGCGCCAAGTACCTTCCTTTTTCTTAACCAAAAGCACTGGAAAAGAGAAGGGGCTATGACTAGGGTGAATGAACCCCGATAACAACAACTCATTAACTGCATTTTCAATTTCCGTCTTTTACATCGGGCCATAGTGGTAAGGCCGAATGCTTGGGGTTTTTTTAACCAGGAAGCAATGGAATGCGATGGTCATAAGATCTCTCTGGGGGCAATGTAGTGGGAATCATAAATAACTCGTTGAAAGTCCATAATAACAACTGCAATTCTTAGAGTTGAGTTGGATCAAGCTCAGAGGCTTCCAACCTGTGCATGTCTATAGAATAGAGAAATAGGCCCTAGTTGGAAATGTGAAATGCATTGTCCAATTGTTGCAGAGAGACTTCGTGTAGAGGAGGAGTAGTGGCAGGCGTATGATAAAGCTTATAAGTGGTATGGTGCTTTTAGAACTCCATGGTTAAGAGGTGGAAATCCCATAGGACATGACTAATAATGGATAACCAATCAACCCCCAAAACTAAGTCACAGCCTCCCAAGGGTAAATCATATGAATCATGACTCCAATGATATCCACCAAGAACGAGTGATGTAGCCTTTAGGCAACCCTGACTGCACACATTTCCTCCATTAGCAATAATCACATTGAAAGGTTGAGTCGGCTGCAAGGTCCAACCCATGTGTTTGGTCAGTCCAAAGTCGATGAAACTATGAGTGCTTCCCGAATCCAACAACATTCGCATAGAATGTTTGCCAACTAAACCTTCCACCTTCATAGTTTGAGTTTTCTGTGGTAAATTGGTGCCATAAAACGCACACTCACTGAGTTCCATGTTTTGGAATTCAGGTTGCAACTCAGAGGGTGCATCCTCAAATTCCTCCTCAGGTTCAACAAAATCCAGCATCAATAGTTGTTTCTGACCACACTTATGACCTTTACTCCATTTTTCTACACAAAACCAGTATTCCCCACGTTCTCGTTTCTTAGCAATTTCTTCGGGGCTAAGTTTCTTCACATGGATATTACCAAATTTGGTGGTAGGGGAAGCAGGAACAAAAGGAACCACTCCCTGAGATTTAATTTGGGGAAGAGGGCGCGAATTACCAACGCGGAGCTAAGAGAGCTTAGTGTCGAGTTGCACGGCAAGTACAATTGCCTCATGTACAGTTGTAAGCCTTAAAATCTTCACATCAAATTGCAATTCCTTTTTTAAACCGCCTAAGAAGCAACTCTTAAGCAATATGGGTCCAACATCATAAGTTCGGTTTTCCAAATGACGGAACTCAGAAATGTAATCCTTAAGATGACCTGTTTGGCGAAGTTTGAAAAGAGATTGTGCACAATCTTCAAATTTAGAGAGACTAAATTCAGTGCAAAATGCCTTAGTGAACTCCTCCCAGTGTGGTGTGGTCTGAAGACAATTCATCCAACGAAACCAATGCAATGCCTCTCCCTCCAGATGGAAGGAAACGGTTAAAACCTTCTAAGGATCAGCCGTGGGATAGTAGGCGAAGAACTATTCCGCCTTATAAATTCAAGCGAGAGGATCATCCCCGGGAGTGAACTTAGGGAACTCAATCATTGGTTGCCATTAGTGGCGTGGTGGTGGACCATCGCCGTCATAGATCTCCCGATGTGGGGGTCGTAAGGGCTCATCGGTAGGAGGAGGCAGATCTGGAAAATGATGTGGCGAACCCCACTGTGGATCTGAAATGGAGCCCCCTACATCGCCAATTGCCAATTCAAGGTGAAATTGCTCAAAGCCCAAAAGCATTTTAGTATCCACAACCGTCGTATGTTCCTGTAAAGCCTCTGATTGGGCCCGTAAAGTCGCCTTCATAGTAGCTTCAAGGGCGGAAAAGCAAGCATTGAAAGAGGCTTCGAGAGCATCAAAACGAGCATCCATTGAAACGGTGCAGGCATCGTTCGAAGGGCATGGTATACAAGGAAGGAGACCAGAACCGAGAAGATGATACCAATTGTTAACACCTAACTCAGATTCCTTACTCAACTTGCAGGTATGAGTGGGCTATGGAGGTGACACGAGAAAGAAAATGGAGCGGTGCTCCAGAGAGAGATATTTTTTGGAAATAATATTTTCTTATAAAATGATTCATGAGAACCACAAGTCACTAATGGCACTATGTAGCCTTACATTTCGATGCCAGATGGCCGAATGACTCACAACAGACAAAAGTAATTAACTAATTCGTAACTAATCCTTTATTAACTCCTAATGCAATTACAGATCATAACACTCAACCACCGCGACGAGCTCCAAGAGCCATCCCCTAACAACTCCCTCCGCTCCCTCGGCATCACCTCCGGCGATCTTGTCTTCTGCACCCTCGAACCTTCCTTCCAAACCCTAGCTTTGCCTTCCCATCCAAATTTGCACTCATCCGCAGAATCCCCAAATCGAATTGAGCCCCAATGTTCGAATTTCCGTAACTCCGAAACCCTAATTGACAAAGGGGGTGTTATGGACGATTCGATTGGTGAAGATCCGAAGTCTGGAGGTTCGAATTCGAAAACCCTGGTAGTTTCTGGTGCCGAAAGTATGGAAATTGATGATCCGTCTGATGGGCTAGGGTTGGAAAGGTACTTGGTTCCATTTTTCTTAAAGCGGGTACTGAGGGAAGAGTTGGGAGAGGATCATAGCAATCATCACAAGCTATTGTTGATTGCTGTACATGTTGTGCTATTAGAGTTTGGTTTCGTTGGGTTCGATTCACTTTCGAGTATGTTGGCCAATCAAAAGACGGGTTCAACAATTTCGCTTTCATATACTTTGCCTGAGCTTTTGCAAAATCTGGGCAGTGATCGTAATGGGGTTGAAGGGGTTGTGTTGAAGTTTCAGAATTTGGGGCATTTTGTGAATGTTTATGGGTCTTTGGCCTTTGGAGGTTCTTCGCCCCATCAGATATGTTTGGACAAAAACAGATTTGCCCCAATGATCGAATCCATTTGGGAAAACCAAAATGTGAATGAGAGAGATGGGTTAGCCCCAGAGAGAGAAGTTTTAGAGTTTTGGAAGATTGTGAAAAATGGGATCACATTTCCATTGCTGATTGATCTTTGCGCAATGGCGGGTTTGCCCGCCCCACCGAGCCTTATACGCCTTCCACCGGAGCTCAAAATGAAGATTCTGGAGCCACTGCCTGTCGACATTTCCAAGGTGGGTTGTGTTTGTAAGGAGCTGCAAAATCATGCTAATAATGATGAATTGTGGAAGCAGAAGTATGCTGAGGAGTTCGGTAATGGCAGCAGAGGAGAAGGAACTGGAGGTGAAGGAACAGTGACTAACTGGAAGTTTAGGTTTGTTGGAAATTAGGAGACTAGGAAGCAACAAATGAAAGCAGTAGTGATGTGGAGATCAATTGAGACGCGTTATTTCAACCGTATCAAGAGGGACCATAACCCATTTGGGAAACACCCCAACCCCATTTTATTTAAAAATTGTTTTAAAACCTTAATTGGTGAGCCCATGGGGCCCACCTTGTTTTATTTTATGTTTTCTGGTCTCCCTCTCTCTTCTCTCAATTCTCTCTTCTCCCTCACCATTCCCACAACTCTTTCTCCCTCACTCTCTCGGCTCTCTCTATCTCCACCCCTCGGAGAGTTTTTCTTACCAACAAACATCACTATCGTCTTTATCTCGTCGCTACGAACTCAACCATAGTCTTGGCATCTTGGAAGTCGAACCACGAAGCCCCGTACACGAGCTCCGGCGAGCACCATCCCTTTCGAGGCAATTTCCGGCCAAACCACGGCAATTTGGTAGGCGTGCAAAGTATCAATCTCTTCGTCTCCCTGAGTACTATAACTTTCCTTTTTGTTTCACCCAATTTCGTTGAGTATTGAAGAAGTTATACTCATTTGAATCTTACCCAGTTTCCGACGACCTCCGAGGCTTTCGAGGCATTTTCCGGTCAAACCATGGTGAGTTAGACGTCATGTGAGGTATCATTCTTTTCGTCTCTTCAAGGGCTACAACTTTAGTTTTTGTCTCGCTTGATTTCGTTGAGTAGTGACAACGTTATAGCCGTTTAAAATTAGGTGGTTTTCCGGCCGAATTTCCGGCCTTCTTCTTCGGCAAAACCAGGCCTTTCAGGCCATTAGAACCCCCTCGGGCCTTAAGCCCGTTTTGCCTTAGCCCAAAACCCTAGCCCGTTTGATTTTTATTTTTAATTATGTGTTTTTAAAACCCAAAGGCCTCGGGCCTTATTTAGAATGGCCTTGGGCCGTTTTTTGGTCAAGGGGCTCAAAGCCCAGCCCTTTTAATAAGGCCTTAGGGCCTGTGTGTGTGTGTGTTGTGTGGGCTGTGCACTGCTTGTGCAGCCCGTGTGTGTGTGTGTGTGGTTGGGGTTTAAGCCCAAACCCCATTTCTTCACCCTAAACCCTTTTAACACAAAAACCTTAGAAAACCCAAAATCCAATATATCCTAATCCGATTTAACCTAAACCCTAATTCGGATTCAAGCCTAAAACCCATTAGACCTAATGTGACCGTTGGCCCCCGGTCAACGTTGACCTTTAGGGTTGACTTTTCGGGTTTTTGTCCGGGACCCTTCTTAGGGTAATTCGACGTTCTGAATCCGTTTCCAATGTCCGTTTTCCCAAATTCAATTTCTATTATATAGTTTTATTTATTGGACTCTTTATGTGCTTAGGGGAAATTATTATGACGTTTCCGTCTTCGCTAGTGGCGCAGCTTTTGGCAACTAAGTACTGTGAGTGGATCCTTTCTAAAATTACATGATTTTATAGTTTAATTGCATAAATGATTAGCATGCCTACGAATTTATGAAGTGATTTATGTGAAGCCTGTTGATTTAATATATTGATTTTCGTCTCGTGTTTTTGGTGAGGAATTAATTGTTGGCCTATATTGAGCTATATTTTAATATATCGTATTTTCTATAAAAACCATGAACTGATAGACTATCCGATGGATGACGATAGGATGCTAGAACATGTTTTAGAAACCCCTCTTTATAGTATAGACGATGGATGACTTTATACTATGAAGTGGTTATTTATGAGAGGCGTAAATATTTGTGCGTACCTAGTAGACACTATGCCGTCTGGGGCGAGGATCTGGTGTTGGCATTTAGGCCGGGAGAAATAATCCCTAGCTACGGGCTGAGGGACATGAAGAGGCATTGGGCCGGGAGTTGGTAATCTCTGGCTACGGGCGCAGAGACAATGAAGAGGCATTGGGCCGGGAGTTATATTTATTCGGTGATCTTACTAGCAGCACACCGCGCTTACGAGACGATTTATGAGACGTTTACTGTTTTGATTTCTGCGATGAGATTCCACAATATGGCTTTTGAGATATTTTTGGCATGCTAGGATTTTTATTAAATCCATCACTTATTATGCTAGTAGTTTTCATTATTAAACTTTGGGGGTTAATACATTGATAACTGTGTTATTATTATTATATATATGAACTTGGTCCACTCACCTTTATTTTGCGCCCCCATTCAGGACTTAGAATCAAGGCACATAATCCCGGCGTCAAGACACTTCCGCAGCAGCATATTTGAGTCCTCTCGATGTAGGACCCACTTCTTTATTCATTCAATTTTATCTCAATTCTTTTTAGTGATTAGGTTTAGTTGTATGTTCTGAACACGTTCCTAAATTATTAACTCATTGTATTTCAAATTTCTAACCCTTATTTATTTCTTATTTTTAGCTTTTGTATCAATTAATGGCTTTCGTCACCCCCGGGTGTCGGCCAGCACGTGTCGGTTCTGGTATTTGAGGAATATCAGGGTCGGGGCGTGTCAATTTGTACCTTCAAGGATTGGTGGAATAATTGGTGGGGATTATGACCGCTTTCCACTCCTAGGTGCTGTTGATCCTACTCGACAAGCACATCCTCTACAACAACCCCGAATATCTGATATGCGGCGTAATTTTTCACCCAACTGCAATCTGGGCAGTCTGGGAGGGTTCAATATCTAATATGGTGGTTTGAAGGTTGCTGGAACTGAAGCTGCAGGTTCATGTTTCATATGCATAGGATATATAATAAGCATATTGTTTAATCTGCAGCTAGTATTAAGACTAAATTATAGTAAACTTTAGTTATTTTTTTCTTCTTGTTGATGTGTACATTTGTTGTTACTTATGTTGATTACCGTTGGATTTTGGATATAATTTAAAGTCAAGTTTTGTAGTTTTGGTGTTGGTCTGTCTGTTTTTGATGTGCATATAAGCTGCTCTGCTGAATATTTACTTATTTCTGCCGGTGCTGAGACGATAGTACTGTGTATGCCAACAGGCAACTTCTTGTTTAGTTTAATTTGCTTAGATATAAACTTCGAGCTAACATTCTGTCTAGACTGAACAGAACCACATTTGTGAATAGTTGTTGTAACGATGCCCACAAATCAAAAATTCAAAAGACAAGTTGAACATTCCCCTAGTGCTGCTTTAGTCTTCTTAAGTGATCGAGTCTTGGTACACTTAAAGATTCAAAAATTCCTCATCTCCTCCACTCTTAACTTCAAAACCGCAATTGGAGCAACTTCAGCTGTTTCTGGAAGAAAGAGCTCCAACTGTTTATTTCTTGCTTGCAACCCTTATCATCATTCAATGTACAAGGCAATCCATGTGGTTCATGCAATGCAAGAACCAACTCCTTTACACGGAGATCAACTCATCTTCAGTTTGATTGGGTCTTCCTATTGAAATCTCAACTGTATCGGTCTCCTTGACACACGTCATCAGGGACAATCCCAATTTCATATGATCGACTTTGCGGTTCTTGTGAACTAACATTTTGTTTGGTATCTAATTCTTCTTCAGCAAGACAATTCTCTGGGCGAAGTGGGTGCTAGCCTATTAGGTGAAATTTTTGGGTCCTCTTAGAGAAATTTTTGTGTCCTGTAAGAGGACCGCGTCATTCTGGTTCTTGTGTAATTGTGTTTCATGGGCGTACAGATGATGTGTTTCCTGGGTGGATTAAAAAATTTCATGAGTGCTAGCGCCCAAAACCATTATAAGAGAACGAAAAATCTTCACAAAGAAACGGGGGTCTGGCAACCCAATTCAGATCAAGTAAAATGGAGACTAGCAGCACACCGAGACCCAAGTCCAGGTTAAAACAGAGTTTTATTCTTATTTTTTTTATTTATCATTTAATTTGAGATTTTTATTTTATTTTATTTCCAAGAACCATTTCTCTTTCCGAAGCTTATGCAATAATGAGATGTATCGAAATCCAATAGGATCCTCTCCGGATCCTTTTGATGAGGATCTTAGGGATTCGTAAATTGTGTCTGTTCATGATACATGGTACATTGTATGGCTAGTTTTTATCAGGTACTGTTTGTGTTTAATTTTAAATAAAAATATTTAAAATGATTTCTGACCGTACGATGTACGATGAACATACATGATTCACAGATCTCAAGATCCTCACAAAAAAAATCCGGATTCTATCGAAATTACTTGGTTCTAAACTGGCAAACTCCACATCATGACTTGCGTAAGAAGACTCCAACATCTACTGTTTGGAGGACGGATTGTAGACTTCATCTTCTTTCTTGAAATATTTTATTATACTTCGATGTATCTTATACTCCAGCCTTTTAGCTATTAGATTTTGTTATTGATCTTTGACCAAGGATTTATCGGCCAAAAACTCCCTACTAAAAGCTTAGATTTTGTTATTCATTCTGGAAAGTTGGGTCGATAACTTTTAGTGAGCGTCTTGGGAACTTTTGAGCTCAGGGTCTCCGGCTGATTGTGTTATTAATGATTCATTCATGCCTTGGCCTTTGGATGTCGGCAAGAACTTTTGGAATAGCCGGGGGCGGTTTCTTCACTCAGTACCATGTCCACGAAAGGCTTTCGAAGCTTCCTCTTGGTGATGATCATTCTCAAATTACCTTCGTGGGTTGCCACCCCTTGATCCTTTGGACTTCCCATCGTTTGTTTACAACTTGGGGTCTTACCCGGCTTTCTATGAACTGGCTGTGGGACAGTTCTCCAATGTTGACAAACTTGAATGGGTCCTCTGCAACACATTTATAGTTGGAAGAACAAGTCTCTCTCTCTCTCTCTCTCTCTCTGCAACACATATTCTTTCTCTCTCTGCAACACATATTCTGCTTAGGTGGTGGATTGGATGGCTAAGTTTTGGCAATTGAGGACCGTAGGACCAACTACACTGTCCCAGTACTTGCACAAGCGACTTGAAGACGACAAAGAATATGGTGTGAATCTCTTACAAGACAATGATGCCGGCATAAAATGGCTAAACGGAAGGTTAAAAGGGTATGTCGCTTACGTATCGTTTGGCACTGTAGTGACACTCGAAGTTGAGCAAATGGAGGAGCTTGCTTGGGGATTGAATAGGAGCAATAGTAATTTCTTGTGGGTGGTTAGAGAATCAGAAGCAGCAAAGGTCCCAAAAGGTCGCAGAGGAGACATCGGCAAGGAATTGGAAAGAGCCTCTAAGAAAAGATTTGAACTATTTGGATCAAACAAAAGACATGGTACAAAACTAAGCGCAATGGCGTTCTAGGATTCATGTAGCCGACCCCACTTAGTGGGATAAGGCTTTGTTGTTATTGTGGATATCGTTGTTACATATGTTGATGAACTTTTGGTCCTGATGTGCATACAAGCTGTTCTGCTGCATTGTTCTCCTAGTCTTACTGGTTTCTGCTGGTGCTAACATGATATGGTTTTCATATATGATGTTTCAATTACTACCATGCACATAGGGTTTTGATTCAATTCATTTGGATCGGTTATAAACTTCTAAATAATATTCTCGTTAGACTGAATCGAACCCAATGTTCGAACAGTCTGTCATTAATCTTTAGTTTTGTAGTGTGCTGTTGTTAAAGAATATCTCATACTCTTACCAAATTCATAACTTCAAGTATCGGCATCTTTAACATTCGAAAATCCCCCATCTCCTGTCCTCAATAATTCTCTCCTTAGAAGCGTAACTCGTAAGGAAGCCTTAGCACGAAAATTAAAGAACGCGAAAGCCAAGTAAGTGGCTCCAAGGACATCCAACATTGTTTTGTGTCTAATTCTTCTTCAGCAAGACAATCTCCCTACTCCTGATGTGAAAAATATGAATGCTGTTGTTGCTCCAGTGAGATGAACTTACTTGGATATGTAAATTTTGGATTTGATATTTTGTGTGTGTTTATATTTATGATGCTATATTTTTTGTAGTGTACTTCTTTAAAAGTAACGCCTATGCAAGCTAAAAGCACTTTTTTGTTTTTTCTGCTAAATGCAAATGGAAAACGTTTTTAGCCCCATTCCAAAAGCAATTTTAAACTGACTCTGCATCTCTTTTGCTTCTTGAATAGTAGATGCTCTTACATGCCACATTGCTACTCAACTATTCTCTTTTAAGTCACGTTTTTTGGTCAATGGTCCTAGGAGAGATTCCTTTTTCTTATTGATCATTCAACAACTTCACTTGCTTAATTTGAAACGATTCTTTAGAAAGCACTTCTATGAGCCAAAAGAACTTCTTCGTTTTTCTGCCTAATGCAAATGGAAAATGTATTTAGCCATTCCAAAAACAATTTTAAACCGGTTTTGCAACGACCTGTTCCTAAATATTACGATTTTCGTCCTGAAAGGAATTTTACAAAATTACTATTTTAGATATTTTAGATATTTATATTATTTTATTATTTGTGTAACCGTGGGGCCCACACCCCACTTCCCCCTTCTTCCCCGTGTCTTCCTCCCCTCAATACTCTCAAACACCCTATCGCTACAATTCCCTCAATTATCTGAAACCTTGTATCCTTTCTCTTCTCTGCACCGAAGGCCACAGACCACCCCCATGATACCATCCTAAACCTCCGTTTAAATCGTACCTCTAAACCCTCAAATTAAGCTTATACGCGGACTGGGAAATCGAATGGTGGTGCTGCATGTCCAGTTTGATGACGGAATGGAGCTGAACAAGGAGCTTCATAATTCTCGCCGAATTCAGGGAGCAACTCAGCCTTCCGGTCTGTGTTTTGGCTCGAGATTTCCCCTATAATGTCTCAGGTATCATCCTCAAGCCCTGCATGTTCGAATCGACTTGGAATCAGGTGTTCTGGGTAAGCTTCTAAGCTTTTAGTAGGGAAAATTACTGACAATGAGAGAGATTTGAAGGATTAAGCCTCTGCATGTATTGGTGTTATTATTCCCAGAAAACCAGCAAGGAAATCCAGAGAAGTCTTGTCGCATCGAAGTGAATTTGACTCGATTTCATCTGTTACGACTCCCTGAGGAAATTATCTGAATTTCTGGTGATATTCTAGTGCAAACCCATGCGAAACCGAGGTGTTTCACCTCTGTGCAACTCCGGTGAAATCTGAGACAAATCTACCCTCTTTCATCTTTAATCTGTGACTGGGTAAATCCTAAACCCTTATTTGGTGTTGTGAACGAATTTGGGATGTAAATCCATGTAGGAAATGAGCTCATTTTAATTTCTGTGTAGTTCCTGTTAATTAACGGAAAAGGTATATATTCCGTTACTCATATTAGGTGTTGGAATTTGTACAATGTTAGAGTATGCTTAGTAAAGCTAAGTGTTATTTTATAGGTGCGATCAGTGGCGGATTCAGGAAATAATGTTTGGGGGGTCAACAAAGATAGTGCGCGCAGCGCGAATTTTTTTTTTCATAGAAACGGCATGCATATCGTCATTTCATCGGGTCTTGGTAGGATAGCGTGATCAGCCTCTCGCCGATAGTTACCATACTAAAAGGTGCCTTCACTTTCCCTGACAACCAAAAATAAACATAAAATTGGGTTGGATGGTTCATAATAAATATAAAATTCTGATGTCAATATGGTGGTTCATAATAATATTTTTTAGAGATTATATTAATTTATGTTGAATATAAAGAGAAATAAAGTTGTTAAATATGTGGATGTGGAAATGGCACACACATCATTACCATTAATTTATGTCAAATATGTGGATGTGGACGCATGGGAACTTTGCAATCTGCACCAGGACTTAATGGTGACATCTTCAACTTGACACACGAACCGAATTGACAGCCTATGGCTTTTTACACAAAGCAAGCAATTTGATGCTAGCTGTACAAATTTGATTGGAGAGAAACTAAGAAAAAAAATTAAATAAGAAGAGTGTGTGGTCACGTGGTGTGAAAGGAAGAGAGAGAACGTCTTCGTCTTCGTCTTCCTCTTCCGTCAAACCGAACGAAAACCAGAAGAAACCCAAAAAAATGCAGCAGCTCCAAGAGGTCGCACCAGCAGCTTTAAGGGGTCGCACCAGCAGCTTTAAGGGGTCGCACCAGCAGCTCCAAGGGACCTCTAAGGTTATTTCCATGGCTTCCAAGGGGTCGTGCGACCCCATTGCCCCCACTGTGGCTCCGCCTCTGGGTGCGATGTTAGGGTTACAAACTTCGATTGTGGCACCTATTATGGATCTTGGTTGCATTATCGGTGAGTGGATCCCTTCTTAAAGGGAGAGAAATTTTTCATTGTGATGGGGACACGAGTGATACATCATCTGTTTTTATGCGAGTGGTGGTCAATTTTATTTTTGAAGTTATTAATTTTTTAACACACATATCCTACTATTTATAATGACACGTGGTGTACTACCCCGTGTGCCGGTCACATTGAAAAATCTCTCTTAAAAAGGGCCTTTGTTTTTAGCCATTAGATCAAATTTCAAGTGCCCGAATTGGTGGATTTGGTGGAACCGGATCCCTTTCCGTTTTCAAGAACCATATTTCTCTTTTGGATAATGTTAGGAAGACTACATATAGAGAAAAAAATTGCAAACTAAATGATGTACTGTCACCAATAGGAATAAGCATGTTTATACCAATCATCAACTTTCACGTATTTTAATTTCCAAAATTTTGTCCACAAATTTTTTCTCTCTACCATTAACTCTCTTTTTTGGACCTTTTAATATACATCAAAGAGACGTATCCAAATTACCTTGGTCAAAACTAAGAACCATCCAATTTGTCCTGTGTGTAAAGATGTGACTTGCCTGACAAGGAATCAACATCTGCAGTTTCGTGGACTGATTGTGCACTTCATCTTCCTCTTATATAATTGGCTTCTACACTTTCTCCTAAATATTCAAACACATTTCCGAGCAAAGCTTCTAATTTAGAGCAAAATGGAGAAAGGACAGCTGAAAGCCTACAAAGCTCACTGCTTGATCTTACCCTATCCGAGCCAAGGCCACATGAATCCGATGCTCCAATTTGCCAAGCTTCTAGATCACAAAGGAGTGAGAGCCACTCTCGTGACGACTCGCTTTCTCTACAAGACAATGCACAGCTCAGGATCGAGCAGCGCAGCTTGGGAGACCATCTCCGATGGCTTCGATGATGCTGGGAGAGGGGACACAAACACAGACATATATTTGGGAAGGTTCTGGCAAGTGGGGTCAAAAACTTTGGCCGAGCTTCTTGAGAAGCTTTCGAACTCAGGGTCCCCCGTGGATTGTGTTGTCTATGATGCATTCATGCCTTGGCCTTTGGATGTCGCCAGGAAGCTTGGAATAGCGGGGGCAGTTTACTTCACTCAGTCTTGTGCTGTTGACAATGTCTACTACCATGTCCACAGAGGGCTGTTGAAGCTTCCTCTTGCTGATGGTCATTCTCAAATTTCACTTCCCGGGTTGCCAGCGCTGGATCCTTTGGACTTGCCATCGTTTGTTTACGATTGTAGATCTTACCCGGCTTTCTACAGCATGCTTGTGGGTCAGTTCTCGAATGTCGACAAAGCTGATTGGGTCCTGTGCAACACCTTTTATGAGTTGGAAGAACAAGTGAGTACATTGTGAAGTTCTCTCAATCATTTTTATTCACAGTTTTAGCTTTGATTTGATTAATTTTTAATTAGTTCAAGTAAATTAAACTAATTGCTATTGATTTTTCTGCTTAGGTGGTGGATTGGATGGCAAAGCTTTGGCGATTGAGGACCGTTGGACCAACTATACCGTCCAACTACTTGAATAAGAGACTCAAAGATGACAAAGAATACAATGTCAACTTCTTCAAATCAGACAATGATGCCTGCATAAAATGGCTAAACGAGAGGCCAAAAGGTTCCATTGCTTATGTATCATTTGGCAGCATAGCGAAACTCGAAGATGAACAAATGGAGGAGCTGGCTTGGGGCTTGAGGAGGAGCAAAAGTAGTTTCTTGTGGGTGGTTAGAGAATCAGAAGCGGCCAAGGTCCCTAAAGGGTTTATCGAGGAGACATCCGAGAAGGGTTTAGTGGTTTCGTGGTGCCCCCAAATGGAGGTTTTGGCTCACAAGGCGGTTGGATGCTTCGTCACACATTGCGGTTGGAACTCAACTTTGGAGGCATTGAGTTTGGGGGTTCCGATGGTGGCATTGCCACAGTGGAGTGACCAGCGTACAAATGCCAAATACATTATGGATGTGTGGAAAGTAGGGGTTAGAGCTCCAACTGATGAGAAAGGGGTTGTGAGACAAGACGTATTAGAACAATGTATAAGTGAAGTAATGGAGGGGGAGATAGGGGAAGAAATACAGAAGAACGCCGTGAAATGGAAAGAATTGGCCCGAAAAGCAGTGGATGAGGGCGGAAGCTCTGATAAAAACATTGACGAGTTCATTGCAAAACTGCAGAATCAAAGCTAGTGCCAAAGTCCAACAAAATCGAATCGAATAACTGTCTTGGTTTGTAGCAAAAGAATCGAATATCTGTGTTGATCCAACTCGACCTTATAGGTCCCACCTCATGTAAGAGTTGCACTAATAGCCTATCTTACCGAATTTTCTCTTACATTAGAGACATGTATTTCAAATATGTTAGTGGAAAAAATATGCATATGTGCATGTGATCTTGTCTATTAATTGCAACCAAATAAGAGAATTATATAACAAATTAATACGAGCTCGTTCGTAGAACTTGACCTTACAAAAATGGCTTGTAATAGAAGAGAAGGGAGTTACTGTTAAGAGTACAGTTGCCTGCCGTGATCATAAGAAAGTTTAAAATATTTTTTTAATTTAGCGATGTATTTACGTTAATTTAATATCAAAGTCGCTATCCACAATGTAGAATTAAAAACGCTCTATCTCAGGTCATCTCCAATGGCTAGGCTATATTTGTATGGAGCTCACTAGACTATTATTTGGCCAAAGGGGCATCAGGCTGGCCAAATGTAGCTCCTCCCAACCCTTTTTTGGAGCTTGGCTCCTTAGTTGCAATAATTGATTCAAATTCAATGACTAGATTTGAAAACATTCAACGGTACTTTAATTAAATTAACCAATAAATTTTTGGGAAACAGCAAAAAATGGGACAACTTCTTAATCTTAAGACAGAAATAGGACAAACCAGCCATGTGCACCAAGCACAAAATCGAAATTACTAAAATACCCACATATAAATACTAAAAATCATCAGTCCATTGCACCATTATTCTCGTTTGGAAGAGAGGGATGTCGACAGAGATCTGTGAGCTCTGGGTTTCTGATTTCGAAGAGAGGGAAGTCCAAAGAGAGGCAAGAAGAATGAGCTAGGTTTCGGGTTGACCTTACACAAATGTGGTGACTGGCATCGAAGAATCCAAGGATTTGGAGCCGATGAGCGCAGAGGAACTGCTAGGATCCCTCCTAGTTCATGAGTAACGCATTGAGAAGAATGCAAGCACCACAATGTTAGAGCAAGCTTTGGAGTCAAAGTTGAATATTGACAAACCAAATGGAGGTCATGGACAATGGAACTCACGTCATGGGTGTTCATCCAATCGTAGCCAAGGACGAGGCCGAGGAAAAGGTCAAGGCTATGCACAAAATCGAGGTTAGTTTCAAGAGTGGAGATCTGCTCGAGGAAAGGCACATATCCAGTGCCACAACTGCAAGGAATATGGATGTTATGCCAATAAATGTTCATATAAAAATGGTGAGCATGTTAACATGGCAAAGTCAAGTGGACATTCTGATGAGGAATTTACAGTCTTACTAGCACACCATGATCCAGCAGCCAACAAGACATTTGGTATTTGGATTTTGGTGCAAGTAACCACATGTGTCAGAATAAGGAGTTCTTTACCGAACTCAAAGATGAGGCCTATGCATCTATGAGTCTCAGTGACTCCTCAAAGCTACCAATTGAAGGCGGGAAAATCAAGATCATCCAGAAGGATGGTAGAAAATGATACATTTCCGATACCTACTACATACTAGGTATGAAGAGCAACATTCTGAGCGTTGGTCAACTGCTCCAGAAATGATACATTATACATAGGGAGAATATACTTCTCAATCTTAAGAATACAAGAAGAAAGCTTATTGGACATGTTTGAATGTCAAATAACCGAATGTTCCCGTTGAATTTGAACACAAAGATTGGAAGTTGCAACATCGGTTTGGCCATCTTCATTTTAAGGGCGTAAAGTTATTGTCAAGTGGAGGAATGGTTGGTGGTTTACCCCAGATTGAAGCCACAAGCCAAGTATGTGAAGGTTGTGTGCTTGGCAAGCAAGCACGACTCTCATTTCATATTGGTGATGCATGTAGAGCAAATGCACCACTACAGTTGGTGAATATGGATATATGTGGTCTGTTGGATCCCATGTCCTATAGTGGTAATAGGTATTTTATTACTTTCATTGATGATTTTAATAGAAAGACTTGGGTTTATTTTCTCAAGGAGAAGTTGGCTCCCTTAGGAGTTTTCAAGGAGTTCAAGGCACTCACAGAGGCTGAGAGCAACCACAAGCTTATGGTTGTGAGATCAAATTGAGGTGGAGAATACACCTTCAATGCTTTCCATGCATACTACAAGGAGTAAGGAATTAGGCATCAACTAATTGCTGCCTATACCCCACAACAAAATGGGACAGCCAAGAGAAAGAATCAAACCATTCTTGACATGACAAGGTACATGCTTAAGGATAAAGGTTTGCCAAAAGAATTGTGGGCATATGTTGTAGCTTGTTCAATTTCTTTGTTGAATCTATGTCCAACAAAAAGTGTCAAGAAGATGACAACATAAGAGGCTTAAAGTAGATACAAACTGAATGTTGCACACCTAAGAGTTTTTTGGGTGTGTTGCATATGCTCAAGTTCCAGAAGTCAATAGGAGGAAGCTCGATGATCGAGGTGATAAGTGTGTGTTTGTGGCTATAGTGAAGAGTCCAAGGCATACAAGCTCTACAACTTACTAACTGGCAAACTAGTAGTTAGTATATATGTCATCTCTAGCAAGGAAGAGACATGGAAGTGGAACAACAAAGAAGTCAGTAAGAGACTCGATGATCGAAGTGATTAGTGTGTGATTGTGGGCTATAGTGAAGAGTCTAAGGCATACAAGCTTTACAACTCACTAACTGGCAAACTAGTAGTTAGTA